GTGTGCACAGCTACACTCTTCCCAGTCAGCTCTCCGTGGTTTTCCAAAGAACTCGTCAACATTTTGGAAGTGAATATCATTAATTATCTCATGGTACATAAACCGCGAAGCCTCTTGCCTTCCAGTCACGAGTCTGTTTCATCCCTCCTCGGCGTCCATGTTGTCGTGACGCCTCTTGCCACCTTTGCCGCTTTTGAAGGCCGTACCCCGCTTGCCCTTGGCGTCCATCATGTTCTTCATCTCTATACGGGCGACTCTTTGAGCTTCCTCGACTCTCGTCTGGAACACATCCACCTCGTCCTTCTGGGTAGGGTATTCGGGCAATTTCTTGCCCAGGGCTGCCTCGATCCGTAGATAAATCTCAAGATCATACTGGGTCATTATGGTAATGGCCTTGCCGGATTTTCCCGCACGTGCCGTACGACCTACTCTGTGGACGTATGTCTTGCTGTCGGACGGGATATCAAAGTTGATGACAACGTCAACCAGAGGGATGTCGAGACCTCGGGCCGCAACGTCAGTGGCGACGAGGATATCGCGAGAGCCTGCCCGAAATTTGTTCAGCGCGCCCAAACGTGCCGTCTGGTTCAGCTGTCCATGGATCGGGATAGCCCCGAAACCCAAGGTACGGAGCAGGATGGCGAGTCTCTGGACGGAAGGTGTTAGTGGACATCGGTGATAAGGCGAACATGGGAGTTTCCAAGGCTCAGGCTCTTGCTCTTATGAGCCCAAACCGGAAACCCGCCTATGACTTACTTGTGTCTCTGTGACTGTTCTTGTGAACAGAACTATCTTCTTCCCCGAATATTCGTTCACCAAGTAGACGAGGTATGTATCTTTCTTGTTGTGGGGGCAAAAGATGTAGTTTTGGATGAGGGTCGACACAGTCTGGTGGCTGCTGGAGCTGATGCTGATGCGCACGGGGTCGCGCAGACTAGCTCGCTGCAGGCTCTCGATCTTGGAACTCATAGTGGCGGAGAAGAGGAAAGTTCGACGTTCACGGGGAATGAACTTGAGGATCTTGTCGATGCTGGGTCCAAAATCCATATCCAACAGTCTGTCTGCCTCGTCCATGACCAGGTACTTGAGCGAACGCAGAGAGAACCCCTTTGTCTTCTCGAGATGGTCAACCAAGCGTCCAGGTGTAGCCACTACAATATGAGGCTTCTTGCCCAAGGCGATTGCCTGGGCGACCATGTCCAGTCCACCGACAATGACTGCGACTCGAAGGTTCACTAGCGAGCCTAGGGCTTCGAAACTTGCGGCGATCTGGGCTGTTGAGTGCAGGTAATTGATTAGAGTTTATGTTCAAAGTTTTAGCAGGGTGACTCAAGCGGCGGCTTACCTGCCAGTTCTCTTGTGGGCGCGAGGACAAGACCGAACAGATGGCTGGGCTTATCGAGGAGCGCTTGAATGATGGGCAGCCTGTTGAGAAGCTGTGAGCCTGCAGGACATTGCAGAGCGGTAATCTGTATAACTCACGCAAAAGCGGCTGTCTTTCCACTTCCAGTCTCGGCCAATCCAATGACGTCTCTATTCTGCAGCGCATGGGGGATCGATTGCGCCTGAATGGGTGTGGGATTTGTGTAGCCGAGTCGGTCGCAGGCTTCAACAAGAGAATCGACAATGCCCTGAAGATTGCTAGATTAACCGGTGTTCAGTCGAGCAGCAAGCACGGTCAACTCACAAGGTCCTTGAAGGTCTTTGCGCTCTCAGCTTTGTTGGCGGTGACATCTTCCTCCGGCTCCTGCTCCGGCTCGGACGTGGACTCGACAGACTCGGCGGGAGATGCCTCCTTCTGGCGTGTGGCCTTGGGCGGAGGGCCGCCGTGGGAAATCTTGACTCGTTTGCTTGGTGGCATCGTGGAGGTTGTGTTTGGTTGGTTGTGGCAGTTGGCGCAAAGTGACCCGGGAGAGAAAGACGTGCAGAATCAAGGGAAAAAAAAAAAAAAAAAAAGAGCCAGCTTCACATCCAGCAAAGCTCGGCCCCGCGGCCCCGCGAAAATCTGGCTTAGGTAAGACACCGCTGGGGAAAGCGGTGTGATAAAACATAGAGTGATTGGACAGGGTGAGCTTTAGAGTGGGTCTAAAAGCATGCAGAATTGGGCAGAAAAGAAAGCGGCAAGAAATTTTAGAACTGGGCGTTCGCCTGCAGGCGCATTTCTCCAGCACCATCTCAAGACCATCACAAGATCCTCCTGCGATTCCGTCCGAGCCCCAGCTTCTCTCCAGGCTCCCATCTCGACCCGTCGTACTCAATCAGATTGCGCGCGATCTTTCAAACCTTCTTTTGAAAACACTCAATCGCTCATCAAGTCGCACACAATGGCGAAACCTCGCCAAAAAAAGAGGACGCACGTCGGTGCTTCGAACCCCCAGAAGCCCGTCGATGCCAAGGTGCCTAGGTCGATGGTCATCCGTATAGGCGCAGGTCAAGTTGGCAGCAGTGTTTCGCAGCTTGCCACTGATGTCAGACGTGTACTCGAACCAAACACTGCCTCTCGGCTGAAGGAACGCAGAGCCGTATGCCACCGTCCATCGCTTCAGCTTCACATTGTGCAAACACTGATTTGGACAATAGAACCACTTAAAGGACTATGTTACTATGGCAGGTCCCTTGGGCGTGTCCCATTTCCTTTTGTTCTCTAGATCCGAAGGTTTGTGTCCCCAACTCGAAGCCCTGTCACCATCCCCGGCTGGATCAGCTGCTAACGATAACCAGCTGGCAACGTCAACCTCAGAGTCGCCCTAACCCCGAGAGGCCCAACATTCAACTTCCGAGTCGACAAGTATTCCTTGGCTAAGGATGTTCAAAAGGCTCAACGGAGACCCAAAGGCAGTGCGAAAGAGCAACTTGCTCCACCCTTGGTACGTAGTTCACAGCAAGAACAGCCCAAAAGCCATTGACTGACCCCTTTTAGTTGGTCATGAACAACTTCCACTCCCCCGATTCCGACGCAAAGTCAAAGGTCCCTAAGCACCTCGAATCTCTCGCAACCTCGGTCTTCCAATCTCTTTTCCCGCCCATCAACCCGAATCAAACTCCTCTCAAGAACATCCGCCGAGTCCTACTCCTCAACAGAGAGCTGTCGCCTGAGAATGATGGGTCTTTCATTCTCAACTTTAGGCACTACGCTATCACAACGCGAGCTACAGGCATCTCGAGACCTCTCAGAAGACTCGATCGGGCAGAGAAGCTGCTGGCTTCGAAGGTTGGCAAGAAGGGCGGCGTGCCGAACCTAGGCAAGCTTGAAGATATTGCCGACTTCATGATTGGTGGCGAGGATGGAGAGGGATACATGACGGATGCTACCAGTGGTAGCGAGATCGACACGGACGCGGAGATCGAGGTTCTGGAGCCGACAGCTAAGAAGATTTCTAAACAACGCGCTGCCCCTGTTGAAGACGATGCTGCGGACGATGCCGAGGGGGTCGAGAAGCGCGCCGTCAAGCTGGTTGAGCTTGGTCCGCGCATGCGTCTGCGTTTGACCAAGGTCGAGGAAGGCTTATGCTCAGGCAAAGTCATGTGGCACGAGTACGTTCACAAGACAAAGGAAGAGATCCGGGAGCTGGAGAAGCGATGGGAGAAGAGGCAACAGGAGAAGGAGGCCAGGCGGAAGCAGCAGAAAGAGAATGTCGAGAAGAAGCGGAAGGCTAAGGCCGAGCGTGGCGACACCGCTGGGGATGAAAGTGATGTGGATATGGACGACTACGACGAGTTTGACACTGAGGGCCTAGCGGGCGATGCGGAATACCAAGTCAATGAGGAGATGGAAGATGCTGGTGAGTGGGAGGACGAGGAGGAAGAGATTACGAACGAATGAGTGACCTTGATAGAAGAGACTCTCGTTCATGGTGGATAATAATACCCAAGGAGTGGCTGAAGATGAAGGCATCATGTCTTCCCTGTGACATGTTTCATTGAACGTCCGCTTCAGACTTGTGAGGGTGCGGGTTACAGACAAGGACGAGCGCCGATGCCACGGCTCTGCCACCGGATGCCCAAGTCGTGGAACCGTATCACCAGCCCCTATACCCATGAGGGCACAGTTTCTCATCGTTCCTCAGTCGGCGACCTGAATGGAAAGAGAGCATGTTGCAAGCCAAGTTCATGCCCCACAAGAAGACTCCGGCATTGTGCGCATGTGCAGTTTCGAATTCCGCCAAGAGAAATCCATGGTAGAGGACAGCTTTCCGTTCAACGTTGGACCAGGTCCAGTTGGGAGAAATTGCACTTGACCAAGGCTTAGAGTCATGGGATGCTCGAGCTAGGGTAGTATTCTCGGGGTTGCGGGGATTGAGTGAGGGGTTTCGAACATCTCCAGATCGGGAAGTGTTCGAGTCTCGTATTATTTTATGTGTGACGAGGTGATGAGCAGGCCCTTTCGAGAAGCAATGCTACGTGTGTGTTTTCTGATTTGTAATTCTATCCTGTCAAGCGACAATTTTCTGCGTACTACTGTCACTGTTTTGCGCGTGACGGTACAGAGGTGTCAAAGATGGACGACTTTCCGGCACCTCTCCAGATTGGTTCACCTCGCGTCATTTGCGGCCTCAACCCTACCCGAGTTCAATGATCTGATCATGTCCCAATCGATCTCAGGCCCCTGAAAGCTTTTGTTTCCGTCCATGTACCACAAGAAAACGATAACGAAGAAAAGCCCAACCAAAATGACGGCAGTATAATTCATGCTGGCAGGTGTCGCAGGGAGGCTAGGTGGCATGCATATGAAAACCAACAATACCAATATCCACAAAATGGAAAATGTGTTGCAAACATATCCAGCCCGGCCAAGGTTTAAGTACCGACGAGGCAAGCTTCTTTGTCGGCCCCGAAAGAGGAGGATGGCTTGTGGAGCTGCATAAGTGATATTCAAGAAAAGGACTGCTGAGGTCACTATTGAATTAAAGGCAGAGGTTGATGCCAAGTACAAAAGACCGTAGAGACAGGCGAATACGTAAGAAGCGACGGTAGTTCGAATGGGTAGATGTCGTTTGCCATCAACATTTGCGAAGTAGCTCGAAAAGGGTACTCCTCTCTGGAAACAGTCAGCAACAGTGCGTAGAGGGGACGACTTCCTGCGTTGCATAACCTACATTGCGAGCAAATGCCCACGCTAGACGACCACTGGTGACCCATTGTGATGGAAGACATACTGGGACAGATATCAGTGGGACGAGTGGGCTATTGCCGATACGGAAACACTCACCCAGATAAACGAAGAGGATGTAAGCGAACAGAGACAAAGTGACCTTGTCGTTGCCGGTCCTGAGACTGCATTAGAGTTGAAGTCGCCAGTGTCGATCGTGATAGGAGTACAAACACCTGATTTATCAATTCCAAACTAGGCAAACGAGATGAAATAACTGCCGAAAAGTCTTTCATGTAGAACATGAGAGACAAGAACAGAGGGAAGGCTGTGGCCAGACCGATGATCATTGTCAGCATCATGACCTGTGGGACTCGGCGACCGGGATGCGGCATTTCCTCGCTAATATGAATAACTACCAAGTATTAGAAAGATTCCCTATCCGAGATATCATCACGTGGGTGTGACTTACCACCATCCGTCCCCCCAAAGGCGTACATTGCATTCGCGATACCCAAGGTCCACGCTATCCCTGCAGACCATCCACTTGATCCTAGACCCGATTGGGTCAGGAAAGATGCAGGTTGGCTGTGTTTATGCAAAGCGATGGCTACAAATAAGAGCACCAGAAAGCCCAAAACTGAACTGTACAACGAAAGCTGAACTGTGAAGGTGATCTTTTGAGAGGCAGAAATCACAGGAAGTACTGAGAGTTGTCAGAAATGTAGTTTCAAAGGATTAGATATGAATTCGGGAGGTGAAAGCACCTGTGACGGTGGCAGTCCCCACATAGATTGAATAGATCTGCCATTGTGTTCCTTCGAAACCGGGATGCCAAAATTGGATCATACCAGCTAAGGTCATGGAGAACAAGGATATTCCCGAACATCTCAAGACACTTTACGTTAGCTTTCGAAATACCACGACTGACCTCCAAAGAGAAAATTACTTACGTAACGATCCACCAAGCCAGCATCGACATCCAACCTATCAGGTATCCAGCGAATCGTCTTGTATTTGGAGATGATAAGATGTAGCAGAAGTGATACTGGCCACCGGTTGACTACACTTTAATTAACAGTGAAGACGGGTTGGTATGTGACAGATACGACGGACCGGGAAAGCAAAAGCTATCTCACCCAGACCAAGAGTCATGACAAACTGAGCGGCAAAGGCGACGAGGAGCCCAAATATACACGATTGCGGCCCACCATAGACGAGATTCTGACCGAAATTGCTCTTCAACGGAAACCGTCAGCGCAAAATAAGAAGCTTCACATTTTTGCGATGATCAAAGAGAACATGGGCGTACAAGATAACCGATCCAAGAGTTGGTGATAGAAAAAGAGAGGCCTAAAGCTGAAACCCAGCTGAATTGGCGCTTCAAGACTTGATCATGGCCATTGGCTCTCAGGATTGCGTCGTCGATGTTCGCGTAGGGCTCTAGTGTACCATGGGATATGCTCAATCGGTGGAGAGACTCATTCGAGGCTGCATCCTTCGCGAAGCCCTTGGCCGCCATAGCTGCCGGGTCGGCATGTGGAACGGTATCGGCATGTATGGCAAGGTCCATCGTTCTCAGGTCGATGGAAGCGAACAGAAGTTGTATTGGACGTTTCGAAAGTCTATAAAAATGTAAGACGTAGGTCCACGGCTCTCTTTACACGACCGCAGAAAACAAGCTATGACAAGGTCTTTATAGCGTTTCACTCTCCACCGAGAATGATGTCCTCTCTACAACTTCATAAGTGGTGCTTTTGACAGCCCAGCTGATTTTCTTATCACACTTCTGCTATATCGACCTCATGTTCGTCGATGCATTGTAACCACAGACCAAGCAGAGATAGCGAATTGCTGCTGTAGATATCTTCGGCATCCATTCGCCATGCCCTAGACGTGTTAGTGGCTCCACCCGCAGACTGTGCGATTCGCAATTCGGGCGACGCACCTTTCACTGACAAGTGACGATGAGACATTTCGGTCGTGCAACTCCTTGCCAACCATGGCCCCAAACCTGAAGCCTGCACGGAGGTCATAGGATCTTACCCCAGTTGAGATGCTTTGCCATTCGGACCCCTTCGTGTGACATTCGGCGGCTGCTGACTCCGAACGCAGTGCCAACTGTATTGATTTCCATCCTGCATGCTGTTATGAGAGAGACGCTACTTAGATTGTTCACGGACCCCCACCGTGATATGGGGCTTGCGCTCTCTTTTTCCACTTTAGGAAATAGTCTCAACCATAGCAGTGGGCTGGAGCCTGCCCTGCTGCAGTGCCTGTCACACCGAATAAACAGACGCCATCCCAATGCTAGGTAGGTAGCTCACGACTCTGCGTCGCCTTGGCGGAACGAGCGGGCCCAAGTTCTTTGAGCCTGCAGTGAGCCATCATTCCCCGGAAGCGAAGCGTCAGAAGGTCTTTAAAACCAACTTTTTGTTTTTTTCAATCCGGGTACCCATCCAAGTCAGTTTCACACGTGTCATCACGCCAAAGCCTTTTTCCACACCAAGCCCCTGGCTCTAACGTATCTCATCTCAACCGCTATCCCTAACTTCTGTTGTCGAACACTACCAAAGCCTGTGAACATGTCGAGAATTTCCGATAGATACGGCCCCGAAGTCCAGAAGCTCTCAGTCGAGACCCCTATTGAGGATATCATTTACCTTTTGAAGCGCGATGGAGGTGTATTTGTTAAGGGGCTTGTGGCCGTTGAGGACGTCGACCAATCTTACGAAGAGTGTCGTGAGCGCCTCGAAAACGACGTTGAGTGGAATGGGTCATTCTTTCCAAGTAAGCCTCATCGGCCTACCAACAGCCGTCAGTCATGTTACTGGGAGGCTACTAGACATTAACGCAGCTCTTGCTGATGAATGGCAGAGGAAACCCAACGAGCACCAGCCCTCCTTGCTCTCAGCCCCACATACGCCAGAACCCAGATGATGAATCCCATATATCAGAAGGTGTGCGAACACTTTCTGACCACTCGAAACTGGTTCTGGTGGGGCAACGAGAAAAAGGAGTCGGTTTCGAAGCCGTATGTCCACTCTTGCACTGCCATGAGGATTGGACCAGGCGGAAAAGCCCAACCCCTCCATAGGGATGACTACATTAGCCACAACCACCACCAGGAGATAGAGGCATGGGATGATGAACGAGACAAGAACCGAGAGACCGCAGTAGGCCTTTTCGTTGCTGGAAGCAAAGTCACAAAAGAGAATGGAGGCACCCAGTTCATTCCTCGCAGCCACCTCTGGTATGAAGATTCTTCCCGTGGAGTCTCGGCGTCGACCGCATTGGATGCATGTTGTACTGTGCTGATAGTGTTTGAATGCTAGGGGCACCGACAGACACTTGCCACCACGAGTTGACGAGTGCATTTATGCCGAGATGGACAAAGGCGACGCTTTCATCATGCTGGCCTCAGCATATCATGCCGGCGGACATAACACCACACAAAACGAGAAACGACTGGTTTTCGCGACGTTTTCCATTCGAGGATATCTACGACAAGAGGAGAATCAGTATCTCTCCGTGCCTCGAGATATTGCGAAGAATTATGACCGGCCCATTCAGGAATACATGGGTTACGCCATGAGTGACCCTGCCTGTGGATATGTTGACCAAATGGATCCGATCTTTGTCCTGCATCCAGAGTTGAAAGGGGACGGAAGGCCAAGCGATTTCTAGGCATCAGGGGTAAATTATTCGTTCTTTTGTAGTGATTAAAACCAGGTTTTGCAAGGGGATTCATTTCAAATGACACTTACAGTGTAACGATGTCTTCTTTCCATTTGCACGTTCACAACCCGATAAATTCAAAAGACCACCTCGGCCCCTTTCATGTGTCCGAGCCTCTGAACTTTACCTTGAACTTGATGAGAATTCTCAAAAGGCCTCTTGATTCCTACTGCCGTAAACAAAACCAAGGCTGGTAATGGTAGAGAGTCACGCAAGATGGAGAAATTCGACTGTGCAGCGATGAGACACGGCAATAGGGTACACAGGGATGTGAATTACAAGGGCTCGGCCCGGCAGAGGTGTAAGAAAATAGCGGCAGACTGGAGGCGACGGTGCCGCATATGGACATTGTGCTGATTCAATTGCCCTTAGTCAGAACTCCGTTAACTCCACTAGCGCAGGCGCTCTTGACGCCAGACAGGACGTCCATTATGTTTCCTTCATCTACATTCTGTACTCTCGCCGAAGAGCCACAGCAAGAGTAAGGCTTTACACAGCGACAAAATCAATCATGCATGGAAAACTTGCCATGGCCAGAGGCTCAAAAGCCGTTCGAAAGGGTAAGTCAGACAAATCATTCATTGGGATTGCTGCGCTCTGCTGCTGTAGGAAGCGCAACCTGCCCCGTCAATTAGCCCCCATCTTCCCCTGCCTCGCAAAGTGGAAGCTATGTCCCATTTCTACCCATGTCCCAGCTCTGATTTTTGGACACATGAATTCTAGACCCGGCATGCGGAACTTGTCGAAAGAAGTGTCGCAAATGCGACAGAACACGGCCGACATGCAATCGATGCAAGTCGAAAGGTCTCCAATGCGAAGGATACCCCCCCAGGTTTCAATTTTGCGAATCGCCGTCCACTGCTGTCGCGTCCAACGGCAGCAAAGTTCAGCAACAAGACGAAAATATCTCACATCCCTCAAGGAAGCCCGGTCCGAGCCAAGACCGAAGTTCCCCGTCGGCCCAGAGCCCTCGGACATCCATATCGACTGACAGTCGCAGTGCGCAAGTTTTGCACCATCTCTTGCATCAGGGCACATCACCGGACGCATCGACGTCTCCCCATCAAATCTCGGTTGGTCAACCATCGCCTGTTTCTTTTACTGAGCGCCATTTTGAAAAAGAGCCTCTGACCGCCCTGAACCGAAACTTGTTGATTTATTGTGAGTCCCATCAAACTAAAAAGCTAGTATTGGGGCTCACAAGGAGTAGTTGACGAAAAGTTAAGCGAACACTTGACAATTGTAGTCAACGAGACCCGAAATCCGTTCCGACTTCATGTGTTACCTCTTGCGCATCAGCATGTCGGAGTTCTTCACGCCGTCCTGGGCTTGGCCGCATGCCATATGACTCTGTCACCCTATGGAGTTGAACAGGTTGATATGGCTACGGCTCTACAACATCGAGTGGCAGCCCTCAACGCTCTGAGTTCGCTTCTCATAAAGGAAGAGATCTACGGACTGGCGGCTGCTGAAGAAGACGCCGTACTGGCGATTATACTGCTCTTGGTCTTGCATGACGTGAGTGTCTTAGCAAATCTAGAATTCGTCATTAACTCCCCCACGTCCCGGATCCGAGCCCATCAGTCACACTAACGTGAGCTAAGATCTGCGAAATGGGCATATCCGCCCATGCCGTGCATCTGACAGGGGTGTCTTTTCTATGCGATAGAGTTGCAGTGGCCTCAAGCCTCGGACAGACGTCAAGCGCTAGCATGTTCTTCTTGTCAGCACTAGCATGGTGGGTTCATCATTTCAGGCTTTCTGAAGACGCAACATTTCAACTGACATAAGTCGCTAGGTTGGATGTACTGAGGGGTTTCAGTGGCGCAGAGAAACTTACTTACTCAGAAGCCGTTCGCCTATGTGTCGTGGCTGACCCGAAAGCACGATCAAGCTTCCACACCTTGGTTGGTTGCCCTCCCGCCGTTTTCCATCGCATAGGCGAGGTCATCGCAGCGGCCAAACGCCACCAAGCCAAATCGATCAGTTTGAACGATTTCGAGCAAGTCTTGCAAGATGCAGAAGTGTTCTTTCGAAATATCAGGCTGGAGGAACTAGATTATCCCAGCCCTGATACCGAATGGAGAGATCTTGCCGACGCCTATCGCCATGCCTGTCTTTTGCGAGTGATCCGTTGGCCAGACACCTTTTCAATTCCCTGTGAATCTGAAAAGGTGAAAGTCTCGGTCAGCGCTATACTAGACGCCAGTTCACGAATACCAATGAGCTCCCCTTTTCACAAACGGTTGCTATTTCCCCTTTTCCTCGCCGCTGTCGACACCTCTACAGGACACCAAATGCATTATGCAACACTATGCATCCAGCAAATCAAGCGCTCGACCGGATTTGAACATGCTGCAATGACAGAAGTGCTTGAAAAGGTTTGGGAAGCTAGGGCGAATCACACTCGTGCCTGGCCTAACATCCCTTGGATGGAGTTTGTAAGTACATTTGAAGACATCAAAAACGACCGAAGAAATACTGATTGCGCAATAAAAGACCTGCTCTGAGGCCCTCAGACAGCAACATGCATATCTGTTCTTTTAAATCATGGAGTTAAAAGGCATGCGGCCATGAGATACGTGTACGCTGTACGTCGTAATCGGATTTGTGACGAAGAGAGCCGATGTGCGGATGCGGACTGTTGCCATTTTAGGAAATAAAGCACATACAGGATTTTGATGTCAACTTTGTTTCATATTCAAGGCCCGAACGGAGTCTCACCTCCCATGCCTTTGGCAGTCTACATGTAGACTAGACTCAGACACCTTACTGACGCCTCAAATTACCACGTCCCAGGAACGACACCAGTTATCTCAGTGCTTAAATCTTGAATCAGACACCCAGGCTGGTTCAGACAGATTGCACAGAAGGATAGTAGAAGCCTATGGCAGAGAATTTGATTTTAAGAAGCCGAATGCCTTTGTATCCCATTCTTGTAGTCTTTGAGATAAGACAGTCACCAAAAGGCAACGCTCGTGTCAATGTCGACACCTAAGCACGATTCATCGACTCGCTCATTCGAAATCTAAGACTTGATTGTCCTCAGGGATTACGCCACCTGATTCGTAAGGGCAAATGATACAAATCACCTTCGTATCTATGGGGATTGATTAAACCCCGCATCTTGTAAGAATGAGGGTTGCTAGATTCGCACGATGGTCTTGTATCTTCCCGAGATAGATGCGAGATAAGAGAATAGTAAACATGCAAGGAGCTGGAAAAAGCGTTGACAAGCCGGCTCGCTCAAAGACAATACCATAGCTGGAGCCATAGGGAGAACAAGCCAGGCGCGAACAACAGTCCGCACCGTCATAGTTGCTGACAGTTTTTCCTTTTCGGGACGAACAATGCATCTGGCCCACCTCAGCCCCAAGGTTGCGTGCCAAGCTGGCGCGTCGCACCAACTGGCGTACATAGGCGAAGTCGACATCTTGACTTTTATTCCTCTTGACTTCGGCATCCACTTTTGCAAGTACTTCAAGATATCAAGAACTTATGCAATGTATATTTTGATTCTTTTGTCACATGCAAAGGCGAGGTGGTCGAAAGGAGTTAAGTTTTGCGTGGGTACAAATAGTGGATGATTCGGGATGTCGCAAGATCCCACATACTCTCTCAACCCATCGCTGGAGCTATTTCCGTTTTCGGGATCAAATCATCCTTCAATACAGGGACGTAATAGGTGATCGCAGTGTCCGAGTGTGGTTATTTGGATTGACTCAACAATACTTAAATGACTGGCTTGCGATATTGTTATTACCAGATGACATAGGTTGCACCTCGTCCCAAACAGTCTTTATTCCTCATTCTGCCACCATGCCCAAACACCCCCTAGACCCTCTATCAGTCGATGAAGTCCGCAAGGCATCGCAGCTCCTTCTACAGGAGTTGAGCTTGCCACCAATGTGCATCCGCTTTAAGGTGGTTGATCTGGCAGAGCCGTCCAAAGACGAGGTTCTCGCCCACCTGCAAAGGGGTAACCGGGTACCGGATCGCAAAGCTCGAATTTATTACCACCAAAAGAACTCGAAAGTTCTCACAAAATCGATTTTGAATGTCTCTAGCGGCATTCTAGAGACCACCGAAGAACTTCCAGACGTCCAAGGCCCAGTGGACTGGGTAGAATACGACCTCGTGACTAAGGCCTGCAATAAGCACCCGGCAGTTCTTGCGGAGATTGCAAAGTTGAAAGTTCCACCAAGGTATGCCTAATGAAATCTACTAGAACAGTGTATACTGAAGTTGCTGGATAGCGCCCGAATTGTGAACGATCCTTGGGCATACGGCACGGATGACCCTTTCGAAAGAAGACGACTTTTTCAATGCTATATGTACTTGGCCCTGAACGACGACGAGGAGGCAAATCACTATTCAACCCCGTTACCACTTGCACCTATCTTCGATGCGCATACAATGGAGCTTGTGGATCTTCAAAGACTTCCGCTTGGCGTTGGCGATGAACTTGATACCGAAACTCAGCCGTGGACACCAGTCGAGCCTGTCGAATATAGTGCCAACATACTCGGCACTGAGGCACTACGCAAAGATCTGAAGCCTTTGCATATTATTCAACCTGAAGGCCCATCTTTCCAAATCGACGATCGAACTGTACTCTGGCAAAAGTGGCAATTCCAACTGGGATGGTCACTACGAGAGGGTCCCGTTTTGCACGATGTGCGGTACGGCGAAAGATCTCTTTTCTACCGAGTGTCCATGAGCGAAATGACGGTTCCTTACGGCGACCCTCGAACCCCTTACCACCGAAAGCAGGCCTTTGATCTTGGTGACTCTGGGTTTGGGCTGACATCCAATAGCTTAGCTCTTGGATGCGATTGCCTCGGCCACATCGCCTATTTCGACGGAGTGCGCGTCTCGGCTACCGGAGACCCTGTCCTGATGCCGAACGTGGTTTGTATGCATGAAGTCGATGACGGCATTGGCTGGAAGCACACCAATTTCCGCAACGGCAAGTCTTCAGTGGTACGAGACCGCAAACTTGTCATTCAATGCACGTCGACTGTTGCCAACTACGAGTACATTTTAGCCTTTGTGCTTGACCAAGCCGCTAATCTTCACATTGAAGTGCGGGCAACAGGTATCCTGTCTACCATGCCAATCCGTCCAGACCTCAGCGTATCCCCGTGGGGCACGGTGGTAGCTCCTGGGGTTCTTGCCGTAAATCACCAACATCTTTTCTGTGTGCGCATCGACCCGATACTTGATGGTGAAAGGAACAATACAATCGTGCGGGACGATTGTTTGTCCCTTCGGGGTAACCCTAATCTTGACCCCTTTGGATGCGCGTTTCGCGTCAAAACCACTCCAATTACGAAGCCTGGCGGCTATGACCTAGACCTCTCGTCCGGTCGTACGTATCGAATCACGAACCCATCCCGCGTGAACGAGATATCGGGCAAGCCGGCTGGATACAAGCTTCATGCAGCACCTAGCCAAATGTTGATGATGGGACCTGAGACATTCAATCATCGGCGGGGAACTTTTGCATCCAAGCCCATTTGGGTAACACGATACCGAGATGATGAGTTATGGGCCGCAGGGGAGTTCACCAATCAAAGTCGGGAGGACACTGGACTTGCAACGTATGCAACGCGAGACGAAAATGCCGAGAATGAGGATGTCGTACTTTGGCATTGCTTTGGACTGACCCATGTCACTCGGCCTGAAGGTTAGTTGCCCCTCCTTGATGCCGTTAATGACCACATACGAGTTTGCTAAAGAACGATGGACTCTGATACGACATAGACTTTCCTGTCATGCCCGCTGAGAAGCTATCTTGCACATTGAAGCCGACAAGCTTTTTTCGCAAGAATCCCTCAAACGATGTTCCGCGGTCCGAGCAGCGCCATAACAAATCAACTCTTCATACGGCAGCGGATGGATCCTTTCCATATTGCCAAGCAGCAGGCAGGTAATGAGGAGAAAGTTCGCCGAGTCAAATCGAAAGAAGTGAAGCAGGCGGCAAATGTCTTGGAACTGCTGGTTTCTGTTTTGAACTTGTAATTTGTGATATCTTAGTACGTTGAGATTGAGAACTTTTGCGACACGACTATGATGTGTAAGTTGTGTCATGTCTTGCAGCTCAGTGGCGACAGATTTGTTTTCGTTCTTCCTTACTAATCTGCAACAAGTAACTATTGATATCAAGCATGGGGTACCCTCAGCGTTATGAACTAAATGTTCCACTAATCATGAGTTTCCTGGATCGAGAGGACTAAAGCCTAAGCTTAAGACACGCACTTCAAATGTCGGAGTTTCGGCAGCGCGCTGGAAATAGCGTCTCCGGCCTAATAGAAAACATCGTCAGAGTAGTTTGAACCAAGTGCAGATGAACCTGTCAAAGTGAGTCGTATCAAACGCAAAATTGTGATTCAGAATAACACACGTTCACGGTCCTCAAGCGCTGGGAAGAACTTTTCAGTCTTATACGATGTAATACTAGGCAACACATTCGATATGACCTTCGCCTCTGGAACGGTTCTGAAAGCATCGGCTGCTTCCTTGAGAGGCGCGGTGGAAGGCGGGAATCCCTGCCCTATCGCCGCTGAAAAAATTATACCAACCACGTCGCAGACTTGTGCATCGATCTGCTGCAGCAGCCCTGAACTGAGGGACCCGCCTCCAATGTTTTCGTCCACAGCATCACGCACAGTCTTTAGAAGCTCGCGACAGGTGAGCTTCAAGCTGAAATAACTGAACATGATGCCAGGAACTTCTTCGTCGACAGCCATGCAAACTTGATGGGTGAGCTGGACTGGACTAAGAGATCTTATAGCCGCCTGAAACACCCAGTGTCAGCCAATAGCTCGTGCAAGATCATACTAAATTGAATTATCACGCACCTTTCTCTTGTTCTTGATAGAGTCTTTTTCATCATTCGTGCTTGCGGACTCAAGTTCCCGAATTCCGTCGAAAGCGTGTTTCTTGTACCATCCACTGCTGTCGAGAATGAGATCAACCACCTCGACATTGAGCCCTCTTGAATCCGAGTCAACTAGGAACGTTTGAGCAAAGGCCATAGATGCCCTAGCCTGGTAGTTGATGGTTCTGATACCAGCCCGAGACATCGGAATCTTTCTGTTCTTAGTGCTGCGATTTGGTAACCAATGCGTCGCTGAGATTCCCTTGGTGAGTGCAAAGTTTTTGGAGTAGGCCTCAAGAGATGTTGGAGGATTTCCCACAAAGAACGCTGAGTTCCCTTGGATCTTCATAATGAATTCAAGGTCCGCTCTCTTCTCCTGTTCCCCAAGGATTCCTTCTTGCCGCAGCGCTTGATACAGCTGGACAGCATGCATCAAATTTCCCTTGGATGCGAACTCGATACCAAGCCGGTGGAACGCTGTTCTTATGTCGTGAACGTGTAGACCGCAGAACATGGGATTGTGACTCAAGAAGTTGGATGGCCTGGTTGGCAGACCGCCACCTTGCCGTATGATGTTGAAGATATCTTTATCTGAGCCCCACTGGTCCACCGACATCAGGAGATCATCAACTGCCTCCTTGAAGTGGCGACTCTTCTTAAGCTCTGGTGCCTCTCTGACGACATCTCCAAACGAATTCGTGATCCTCTTCAAATCTTCCTCGCCCCTGCGGACTTCAGAACCAAGGGATTTGAGGATGTCTAGGTAGATCTGTGCGCCAAATGCAAGCCAGACACCGGGGATTTTCTTCGTCTGCATCATTTGCTTGAAACCTTTGACGAAATCGTCTTGAACTTGAATGCCCCTGAGCGTCGTGACGATGACATGCATGTCCGCAAAGAGCTCCAATAGAGCCGCTTTATCCTCTTGCCAGCGCTCCCGGTCGTCTCCAGCCTTGCGATTGTCTCTGTACCAGCCGAACTTTCCATTGTAGGAAAGACACGTGTCAGAGAGACCCTGTCCCTTGTAGGCGTTCAGGAGGCATAAAGTGTTATAGAAGAACATATTAGCCTCAGCGTAGCACCTGTAGTTGTAGTCATCGGTAGGTTGACGTTTATCCTCAGGATGCAGCCCCCGAGCTGCACATGCGCCCCCAAATACCATCGGGATAAGCTCTTCCACCCCACCAAGCTTCTTCAGCTGCGTGGAAACCTCATCTTCCATGCTATGAGCAAGCTTGATGGCAGTGTTTGTAGCTACCGCAACGGCAGCAAGATCTCTAGATCCAGCCTGATATTGTTGCCAAAGGCCCAATACTTCCTCACGAAGTTTGAAGAAATCCGCCAGAAGCGTCGACAAAATGAAAAGAGATTCCGTCTGTGTGTCTTCTTCCTCAGCCGCGTACTGAACATCGTCGAGACTGGGGAACACTGCGTCTGGAGCAGATAAGAACTCATCAGAGGGTTCGTAAACACTCAGAGATTCAAACATGTTGCCTGTCCGAAGCCTAGCGTTGTGCTTGTCATCGTTTTTGACATCATCCGTAGGTAGAGCGCTTCTCAAGCCCGACGTGTCAAACGAACCAATGTGGGACTTGAAAGTCTCGTACTTTCTCGAGGACCGAAATAAAATAAGCGTGCTGGGAATCCCCGGCAACGTCTTGGAACGATCGGAACCTTTGCAGAATAGCAGAAAACCGTCGACGGGATTTGATAACACGGTTTAGTGCCGCTGAGAAGAATTCCGGGACTGCAAGAGCCGCAGAAGCGACCTTGTCGGCCACATGCTCGGCTAGCGGAACGAAGTCTTTGATGGCAATGACGTGTTTTCGCTTTGAGCTAGCCGAGGCAGCGGCGGCCTTTGCCAACTTCTTTTTAGCCTCCATTCGAGCCCTGCCTTTCAGTTTCTTGATGGCAGGGCTGTTTGCCGAACCATTGAGAGGACCAGAGTACCCGGACTGAATTGCTGAGGATGCCAACCATGATGCCACCACATCTGTGTCTTGCTTGTACTGATGATAGGTTGATCGAAGACCAGCAGCGACCATCTTCGGCGTTCGTTGTCAATGCTGCTGGATGGCGATGATGCGGTGAATTTCGACAGTGGTTGACGCAGGAAGATGAGAAATCAATTGGCCTTGCGGCTTTAAACAGGGCTGGTAGAAGTGTTGCGGGGTGAACTAAACACGGATGGGCGAGATTGCGAGATTCTCGTGACGTCGCGCGTGGGGGGGTTGGAACGGATCATGTGATCAAAGAAGAAGCAACAATGAAGTAAGGATAAAAATGCGGTCTGGCGAAATATACGTGTATGGAGGTCACGTGGACCTACGCGCTCTTCGAAAGCTTATATCAAATATGTCACTATTAACACCCAATAATCGTGATTTAACTTTGAGATGGTATTGAAGTTATGCTACAGCAATTCCAGTGGTATCACCCAATTCTGCAAATAAAACCGCCTTTTCCTTTTTGTTGACATCGATGGCATATATACCACCAGACAGGTCGGTCACATACACCAGGCTCGCGTTCTTATCCAAAGCCAAACCGATCGTCTCGTGCAAGCGAATTGCTAAAATCTCAATCTTTCCTCCCAGTTCCACATTTGCTCGGTTGAGAGAATTGCCTTTGGGGGGATCTCCGCGATCTGTCCAGTACAGCATACTGATATCTTCGTCGAGTTCAAGGTCAATCGGCTCCGGCAGCTTCTCAAAGACCACTTCAATGTCTCGGACCAACTCGCTGGCGCCCGAAGCTGGATCGATCGGCGCTCGAAGAATACGACCCTGGTTGCCCTTTGATGGACCTTTTTGAGTCCAGTAGAAGAGGCCTCGCCGCTCATCCACGGCAATGCCGACGCACCACCTTGATTGATCTAGCATATCTGCCTCGGTATTCCCTGTCGAAATAAGAATCTCAACCTCAGAACCATCGAGATTTGCTCGCATGACTTTCATGCCTTCTCTGTCGCACCAGTACAGCTTCTGGCTTCTCTTCGCGATGGTGATTTGTTTCGGTGTGAAGACACCTGAAGTTCCCACAGGAACAACAACTCTCCTGTCAGATCCATCCAAGTTGGCCCTTTCGATAGAACCGCTGTTGGATTTGAAGCTTGATCCCATGTTTGTCCAGTACATGTGGCCGTTTGCATGGTCTATGGCAATGCCATCCGGTAAAGTATCAATATCATCAATAATCGTTCGAAGGTCACTCCCATCTGGAAGACAAGATAATATGCGTCCGGCCCGCGTGTCTTGATGAGGATGAGACAAATCCGTGTCAAGGATGTAAAGACGTTGTTGCGGTTGTGAGCCCATTGTTACTAAGTGTTTGAAATAGGCAGTGTTAAATGAATCGAGCTGACAGCCGTAATGATAGTCGTAATGAGTGAAACCTCCAGGCAAAGATAAAAACCAAAACAAGAAGCCGTTCCGTGCGAAATGTTCCTTTAAAAAGACCACTTCTCAGTTGCGCGGCCGGTGTCTTTCAAGACGGAAGATTCATTCGAGAGTAGTTCTACGAGTCGGGTTCCGTCTTGTAGAAAAAAGTTTTCAATTTGCTAGTTGCGAATGATTCACCAGGTAGCCCACTAACGGCGACTTATGGTTCCGTCCGTTACTCGGATTTCGCACCTCGGTCTTCACGACATACCCACTGTCACAGAATGCGGCGGATGTCTTCCTGATTGCGCGGCGAAATTCCGCGTGGTCCCGCTTATATACATGGATGCCCCTGGTCAAGGCCTTCATGTGGGACGTCATTGCCCAGTTGTGCCATGCCCATGAACCCCTCGCGTTTCGGTGCGGTTTGGTTTTCCAAATCCTTCAGTGCCATTCAACCACTAGTGTCTAGTTGTGAAGAGAGGTGGGTGAAAAGAGAAGGTGAAGACGAGAATACTGAGGAGATCGTGAAAAAGTCTCTTAATAAAGATGATATATCAATTATAGTCTAACACTAACACACACTCTCACATATCTATAACTGCTTGTCGGTTGACGCATAATCATCCCACTCTTTCCGAATGTTCAGCAATCTGACGAGTTCCTCGTCACGCTGCTTAGCCAACTGCCGATACTCCCTCCCAGCAACCCCGTTCATTGTTCCTTCCACCCACTTTTGCTTCAACTCATCTGTCACTTCAGGGTCTTTGGGCGCATACCAAGTCATAAGGGGACCTAAGAGATGGTCCGCCATATGCTTGATCCCGCCTTCGCCGCCCCCCAAGTGAAGCAACATGCTGGGACCCATGACACCCCACCGAAGGCCTGGCCCAAAGCTCATAGCCTTGTCGATGTCTTCTACATTGACAATGTCCTCCTGGAGAAGATACATGACCTCTCTTACCAACGCGGCTTGTAGTCGGTTGGCAACGTGGCCCACAACCTCTTTCTTGACATGCACTGGCTTCTTGCCCATGCGCTCGTAGAAATCCATCGTCTTTTCCACAGTCGATGCGGAAGTTTTGTCCCCACCCACAACTTCGACAAGGGGAATGAGATGCGGGGGGTTGAAAGGGTGGCCCACCACGCATCGCTCCGGCCTCCCGGAGGGACCCATGCCCTCTTGAATACTCGAGCATGTCAGACCGCTACTACTCGTTGCGATGATAGTATCGGGTCGGATGATTTCGGCCATTTCCATGAATAGGTTTCGCTTGAAACCAAGCTTTTCTGGTCCATTTTCTTGTACGAAGTCGGCATCCTTGAGGGCTTCGCGCATGTCGGTTGTAAATGTGATATCAGTCGCTTTGACATCCGATTCTTTCGTCAACCCCAATGACGAGAGAACTGGCAGTGCGTCGGTAACCAGATTGCGGAGGAAAGTCTCGGCGGCTGGATTGATGTCGAAGGCGACAACGGAGAGTCCTTGGGCCAGGAACAGTGCCGCCCAAGACGCACCAATCGACCCACAGCCGATGATGGCAACGTTGTGAATGTCAGGCATGATGAAGAAAATGCTGGCGTGATAGAAAAGGATGTGATTGGGTGATTGAGGACTTTGCAATTGGGCAGTGATACGGGAGGTGTGCTGGTGATTCGAGAACCGTGGTGGTAGTGCTAATGGCACGACCGGGACGCAGGCAGCAGGGCACAGAAAGGAGGTATTTATGAACTGGGAAAAAGTGGCAGAAATCGGATGAAACTTTGAGAACAAGATGTGATGATCAGTGAATTTAACGAGGGAGTGAAGGTTACTTGGATATTTCAGATAGCTACACGGACGGAAGCCCCGAAAGTAACGACGTAGTCCGGGCCGATCCCGGTCGCGAGAGCGTGGAAGCTCGGCATGCCTTCGCGACCCACAATGCCGATGTCCCCGCGCTAAAGGTAGGTAACGGGCCTGCAGTTTGGTGGAGAGCGTGGCAGAATTCCGCCCGCGGAATTAGGGCGGCGGGCCTGCGACTCGTGCGCCATCTCCGGATCACCAATCTTGGCGATTCCAGCTCCCTGTCCGTGGAGTTTCTAGAAAACTTCTCTTGGCCCGTGACAGTCTCGTTGCTTTGCGGCAACGTCATTCCTGCTCTTCTCATGCCTTAGTCTGGTGTCTCGACCGCCGGCATTCGCGTCAACCAAAAACCTCCGACTTGCGTACGCCTTGCCTTGCACGAGACTCAGACCTGGTTAACGTCATGCTCCGGGATGCACTGCCCCACATCATCGGTCCTCACGGCGTTCGCAGCCCTGATGGACGCAAGGGTCTTCCGACAGCGGCTGTTCCAATCAATCCGCACCGGTCACCGAGATATCTTCGTCTTTACTCCGTTTCCGCCATTGTCAACCATATTCCCACGGATGACCCGCCCTCACACGTCTTTGAGTATAAATCGAATAACTCCCTCTGGTCTTTAGCTTCCTAATATCCTTGGACTCTTAGCCATTGCAACTTGCAAGCCTTACTCTGCTCTATCGCATCCTTTTCTTTCCTTCTCGAAACCATTCCGAATACACATCATAAATCATGACTGTCGAAAAGATTCCCGACATCTACGGCCCGGGTACCTTCACAGATAAAACATTCACCTCTGTGCCAGAAGACACCGAACGCATCTTTCGTCTTATCGCCAGCCAGACTCCCGGCTTCACACAAGATGAAAGGAATCTCTCCAAAGTTCAATTTACTGGGGAGTCGTACCCCGTCATCCCCGGACCTATCAAGGCGACTTCGGTAGCTGCAGCATTGCATGCTATGACTGGCGTCTTGGCCGACGAAATTCTTACTCTCCGCGGCGCCAAGAACGACGAGCGTCAGATTACAGTCAATACCACGCACGCTGCCATTTGGTTTGGTTGCATTGCGACCGCTTTCTTGGATGGCGTTGATGTTGTGAGCCTGGTTAAACAGGGCAAGTTGAAGGAGTTGCTTCCCGACTGGGAGCGAGGATGGACCGACACTCCTCTCAAATACCGCGCCACCGGTCTGTACCCTACAAGCGACCCCGAGGTTTGGTATTCGCTTCATGGGAGCATGAATGCTGAGCCGGTCCTACGATCTATTGGTGTAGACCCCTCTACACCCGCCAAGACCCCGGAGGAGGCCGCCCGGCTCATTGCCCAACATACATCGAAGCTCAGCCCAGAGAAGATGGAGATGACAAATCTTTTGAACGGATTCTGTGGCAGCATTTGCTTCACGCCCAAGCAATGGCGTGAATCGGAGATGGGACGTTCGCTATCGAGACATCCCTTGGTAAACGTTCAGAAGCAAGAGCAGGCAATCCCAACACCTCCGGTAGCCTTCCCGCCTCTGGACCCCAACGACAAGCGTCCTCTAGCTGGTGTCAAAGTTGTAGAGATGACTCGTGTCATTGCCGGCCCGCAGATCGGAACAATTTTGGCTGCGTATGGAGCCGACGTGATTCGTGTGAATCCTCCACATTTACCAGACATCAACATCATGCAGTTGACCTTGAACGCCGGAAAACGAACAATCGCCATCGACCTACGCAAGGATGAAGACGCCGCCATTCTCAAGTCTCTTGTCTCGGACTGCGATGTTTTCATTCAGGGTTTCCGCATCAACAAGATGCCGAAGTTTGGTCTTGGCCTCAACGATCTGCTCAAGATGGCCGGTGAGCGCGGCCGTGGCATCGTATACGTCAGCGAGAACTGTTTCGGCCCTGACGGCTACTATGCTGAAAGGCCCGGTTGGCAGCAGATTGCTGACGCTGCCGCCGGTTCTGCTTACGTGACAGGAAAGTCGCTAAATCTGTCCAACAACGAGGCAGTTCTTCCCAGCTTGCCCATTTCCGATATGTCAACCGGTGTCCTCGGAGCTGTTGGTGCCATGTTGAGCCTGAAGAGACGGGCAGTTGAGGGGGGAAGTTACTATTCGCATGCCAGTCTGACTGGTGTCAACGCTTACGCCCTGACCGAAGAGGTTGGGCTTTATCCCGAAGCCGCCGTGGAAGAATGCAAGCAACGCTTCCAGTGGGGTGAAATGAGAGGATCACACCACGTGCTAGATCTCCTTGTCACCGTGTGGAATGGATGGCAAAGAGTTCTTGGGGATTACCTACAGCCCGAGAGTGACTGGTTCCAAAGCTTTCACGATAGCGCTTTCGACAAGAAGAGGTTGAGCATTCTGAAGCCTGTGGTCAAGTTCAAGGGCGAGCAAGACACAACTCCCGAATGGAAGACACCGAGTGTGCCCTATGCAAACGAGAGGGCAGAAACAGTCAAGTTTCTTTGATTGATGTAAATTAACCACATACTTGATTATATGTAATGGGAGAATGAAGTCTTCTTGTATCAGAACACCATTGATTTCTTTACTGGTGATTACAATGTCTCCGGCGTCACTGCAAAGCAGTTTGTCCTTTCAAGTAGGAATGCTATCCCTGAGTCCGGATCATCATATGTTGGCTCTACCTATCCCCGCCAAGTCGTCGTTAAGCAGAGTATCCTTTTCAAATCCATTGACAACTTGGTGAAGCATCGCAGCGGATATCTCTTGGACACAAATGCTTGGCAAGGATGCAACCCATTTTAATGCAAACCCCATTGCCATCTTCATATAATCATTCGGTGCAGTAATCCAACCAGGTTTTGCAATGCACACCTCGACTTTTGGTCTGTGTTCTTCCGCGAGTGCGAGAATAGCACTTTCAGCTTCACCCTGTCAA